CTGGAAGCTCACAGCGACCCAGTCGTTGCAGCAGGCTTGGAGGCAGAGACAGCCCTAGATTGGCATAGGCCTGGCATAAACACCTCCTGGGACTGAACTGGCAAGAGCATGGGCTCAAACCCACACCCATTAGACTTTCTTCCATTAGAGAGAGACACTCTCAACACTAGCTGCAATGCAGCAGCTTTTGCAACTGCACCATGCAGCTGGTCTCCACCCTGTTGACCTACGGCCTCAGGCCTGAGCACCCTCCCCTAGCTCAGTGGCAGTTTCCAAAGCCCAGTCGTGCCACCTGGCATGCCAAATGCCTGGCGGTCAAGGAAGAGCTCATTAATTTTGCAACAAATTACCCCCAAATCTGGCAGCAAATAGCTTTGGATACAGAAAGGAACAAAGAGGGAACTCTGACTACTTCATCCTGGTCGATCAGATGCTGCCTCTTGAATATTTTAAGGTCAGATTCTCATTGGGTGTAAATCAGGAGCAGCACTAATTTGTACCAACCAAGGATTTGGTCCTATGTTTCCAGCATGCTGCCAAATTGTGTATGGAGAAAACAGTGCAGCTTTCTAGGAGCGGCCAAGGAAGAAGTTGGAATGTGGTAGCTGTTGTAGAGTTGGGGACATTTGGTGACATACTTTAGTGCAAGCTTGCTGCCACACAGCAATGGACCCATTTACCATGTTGCCACATCGGTTGTAATCAGGAGGTTTCAGAGTCAACGCCAAATTGAAATGAATGTGGGGATGTTCACGTATCTTAGGGCTATTATTATAGGCTCTCAATAAGGCCACATGGCATCAGTCGCATGCCATCCATTCAAAAGACACTTTGCAGCCATGAAGCTGCTTTCTGGGAACAAAAGAGGGGGGCAGCAAGGAGTTGGCACCTGAATATAAGCAGATCCTTGGGGCCTGACTACCATGCCCAGCCCTGGGGAAACTACTGATTCCTTTAGGTGTATCCAAAACCGAGGTAAGCTACACAAGTGCTAACATATAGTGTGTTCAGGCACAAATCAAGCCACCCTAAATGCTACACCAGTGATTCTCAACCAGGGATCTGCAGCACTCAGGGGTGCCTTGAGATCCTTTTAAGGGTGCCGCAGACTTCCATGCCCTGTTAGCCCTGTCAGGTGTGCAAGCACGATTCACAAGATAAACCAGAGATTTTCTGTCGGCATCTGTAGCGTCAAAACCATTCTCATCTGTCGTGGGCTGGCTGAGTTCTTTCCAACAGAATTGCTCTAGGACTTTTCCATAGTCAAATATGAGTGAAAGCTGAGAGCTGGCATCTCCAAGGGGGAGCCTGGAGTCTAAAAGAGTTGAAAAGCCCTGTGCTATGCCCTTGGCTTCAGCAATGTGCTACCAAGACCCCTCTCTCCTCTGCCATTGCTCTGTGCTTAGGAAATTCAAACTGTCCCGGCAGTGCCTAGAAGTCAAGGATTACAGGGGTGATTTTGAGTGCGGTGCTAATCCTATTGCTTTATCTAAGGTGGCGGCTCAGCCACAGACAGAATGCTAAATAAATTACAGATACTACTTAGCATTTATAGAGCACTTCTTATCCATGGACTGCAAAGCGCTGTACAGACACAGGTCGGTATCATTGCCCCCACTGGATCCAATGGGGAAACTGAGGCACGGAGGACAAGGGTGGGGGGTTGGACCTATCCAAGGCCGCACAGCAATCACAGACAGGAAAAGGAGCCAAGAGGCTATAGTTCCCCTGTACCCTTAACTCTGACCACTTTCCTCCCCCAACTGGGAACAGAAGCTGTGGCCTCCATTGGGCTGTAGCAGGGCAGCGCCTCAAGTGCTGAGTGCCTCATCTTGAGGTGTGTTGAAGGGGGTTGATTTTTCCGAGGCTGGAGCAGCAGGGGGGATCTCTTTAAAGCAGCCCGAGTCAAACCCCCAAAGCCAGTCCCCTTTACTCTGACCCCTTGACAGCATTTCCCTCCCCAAGATGAACCTAGTAGTCCGGGTTCAATACGACGATTAATATTGCAGGGAGGAGCAGGTGGCCTGGCAGGTCCCCACAGCTCTGCCCAGTGGACAGCAGCAGCTGGGCCCAGGAAATAAGCAGCGGCTTCTGGGTACGGAGCCTGGATCCCTCTGGATGGAGCCCAAGAGACGGAGCCCAAGAGACGTGGGAACCTCACACCCCCAGACCGGCTGCTCTGGGGGGTCCTCTTCCTTTCCACATCCCCTTCGGCTTCCTGACTGGAATAACAGATGCCGTCTGACGCACCCCGGACAGCCACGCTGGGGAGTCTGGAAGCCCGGTCAGTGTGACTGAGAGTCACCCCCAACCTGGTGGGCAGCATTGGAGCCTCTATGGCTGGGGCCAGCCGCTGTCCAGTAGCTCCCAGTGGACCCAGTTCTTCTGGGAAGCAGCCCAGCCCTGGAGCGGTCCTGTTCTGATCCAGTTCTTGCATTGGGCCTGGCATTAGGATAAATACATGTGGGAGGCAGGGGACGGGGGCAGGCGGTGGAAAGCAGCAACCCAGGGACCGCAAGAGGCTGCCCAAGGTGGGGAGAAGATGGGGAGTTCTGGCCATCTCCCGCAGCCTCTCCCCAGGCAACGGGGCCCAGTTGCAACGGGGCTGTGGGTTCTGGCTCCTCTAACTGGTCGGGTCGCCCTGGGCCAGCAGGTTTTGGAAGTTGACCAGCTGCTTGATCTGCTCCGTTTGCATAGAGTGCCTCCTCATCAGCTTCTTCTTGCTCTTGGGAGAGGTGGGGGCCACGGGCACGAGCCCCCGGTGCCCGGGCGAGGGGGGCCTGCCATGGGCGGGTGTGGGTTGACGTTCAGTGGGGGCAAGAAACCGGGCCGCGTGTGGGCGATGTGGTCCAGGAGCATGGTCGCGGAGCCCCGTCTCTCCAGCAGCCCTGGGGAGCGGCGCCGGCCCGAGAGCGGGGACACGGCGCTGGGGATGCTCTCCAGGGACTCCCGGGAGGAGCTGGTGGGCAGCGTGAGGGGCGAGGCGTTGTACCTCCTCCTCTCCAGCGAGACCCGGCCTGAATCGGGCGAGCCGGGGATGGAATCGGGGCAGAGGTGCGAGTCGGACTCATAATGCTCCCGCCGCGTCAGCTTGTGGTGGGCCGTGCCCCGCAGACCGTGCCCTGGCGGCCCCCCACTCTCCTGGGCCTCAGGGGCCGTGTTACGCCGCGACAGGGGCTGGTGGAGGTGGCCGAAATGGACCTTCTCAGCCCAAGGCGCCTCGGGACCTGCACCTTCCTCCGCCCCACCATCCTGGGGGGCTGCCACCTTGAAGCACGAGGGCTCCTGGCCCTCGATGCTGTGCCGCCGCGACAGCAGGGCCCTCTTGGTGAGGCTCAGACCATTCATCTCGGCCGTCAACCTCTCCTCTGGCGTCCGTGCCTTCTCGGCGTGGGGGGCGGCCAGGACGGAGGGCGCCACCAGCCCCCATGGCTCCGAATTGAGCCTCTTCAGCTGCTTGGCCCGGCCCTTGGGAGGTGGCGGGGGCACCAGCACTTGCTCAGAGGACCCGTCTGATCCCGGCAGCGATGGGGGGCAGCTCAGCCGTGTGGCCATGGTGAAATTGAAGACGTCTCTCTCCTCCTCTTTCTCACTGGCCCCGGGGGACTGGGACGTGCGGACCTCGATGTCCGAGGGCGACATGCACAGGGAGGGCGACGGCTTCTCCTCCAGCCCTGGGGATGGGGGCGAATTTAGATACTGCTTGGTCTTCTTGGTGCCGGAGGGGGACGTGTCGGTGGTGATGATGATCACCTCCTTGCCCTTGGCCTTGCAGGCATCCAGCAACACCTGCAGGGTCTCCCGGTCGCCCCGGTTGATGGCGTACACCAGGGCGGAGGCGCCCGAGTAGTCCTTGGCGCTAGGATCTGCCCCGTGCTCCAGCAGCACCGATGCCACCGACGAGCCGGCTTGGTCGGCGCAGGCGTGCATCAAAGCCGTCTTGCCCGTCTTGTCGGGGATGTTGGGGTCGGCCCCATTCTCCAGCAGGTACCTCACCATGCGGGGCTTGTTGTGGGGGTCGTCGTAGCAGGCCAGGCAGGCAGCAATCAGGGGCGTTTCTCCCTGGGCATTGCCTTCGTTGATGTAGGCTCCCCCCTCCAGCAAGAGGCGGGTGAGGCGGAACTTGCCCTGCCCCACGGCCTTCAGCAGGGCATTGCCTTCGGTGTGCAGCATGGCGGCGGGGCGTTCACTGCCGGGCGGGGGCGGCCTGGGGGAAACTGAGGTTGGGGGGAGCAGGGCTGGGGCTGGCCCCAGGAGAACGCATGCCTGGGAGGAGAGAGAAGAGAGAAAGGAAGTCATGACATCTCGCAATGCAGCCTCAAACCATCCTGCAGCCACCCCTTGGCTGGAGCAAAGCCGGTGTTTAATAGCCAGGTAGCTACACGGTGCGCAGATTTACAGCGGCCACCTCTGGAGTGAGGTTTGTTTAATCCAGCCCAGCCTCTGGATGGTGGTAGCGCAGACTGGGACGTGCCTCTGTAAAAAAATCCCCCTTTCTCCGCCCCAAATCCAATGCCCCAAGAGATGTCCGGGGGCAAAACAACCCTGTCTCAGCATCCACCTTTGTCTGCCCCTGGCAGCTGTATTAAAATAAGGGCATTAAAGGGCAATAGGAGGGCATGTGGAGTCACTCCACACACCACATGTGGGGGCATCTGGAGAGGGGGTGATGCACGGCAGAAGCAGCTGCTGCTTCCAAACCTGGCTAGAAATACTAGGGGGCTCAGATCCCCAGATCTCCCACAGAGGCCCAGCTGGGCAGCTGTTCCCATGGGTCCAGCCACCCATGGTGTGACAAAACAGAGGCAGGGCAGGGCAGGGCAGGGGCAAAGCAGGGTTGTGAGATGAGGTTCAAAGAAGAGGTTGCAAGGGTGGAAGGGAAAAGTGAAGGCAAGAAAGAGAATCAGGGGAGGTAGAGAAAGAGAGAAGGGAAAGAGGACCAGGAGGAGGTGTAGAGGCAGGTAGAAGGGGAGAGGAGGAGAGGACACAAGAAGGCAGGAATGAGACGGGATGAGTAGAGGGAGGGCTGGGGTCTTCTTGGGGACCCTGGCTCACCCATTTCCACCCACCCCAGGCTAACTAGCAGCATCCCACAGGTCTTTGGAGGCTGGCGCGGTCCCCCAACCCGGAGGTTGATTGAATCAGGGGCTGTGAGACGAATGGACCCAAGAGTCTTGTTCAGAGCTGCCAAGGGACAGGAGGGAGCTGACTCCACAAGCTAAGTAGACTTGGCAGGGATCTGGGTAGGAGACATGCCACTTGCACTTGTGAGTTGGCTCTTTTTGCGCAAGAGCTGGTGCTCTGGCCTGGGGGCTTCTTCTCGTCCTGTCCTAAAGTGTTAGAGAGCCTTCTCGTGCAGAAAGAGAGCGCCGTGTCATGGTTAGAGTAGGAGACAACGAGCCAGGACTCCTGGGTTCCAGGCGCAGCTCCGGGAGAAAGCGGCTGGAGCAGCAACACTGGAAGCAGAGAGCTTGCAAATCCAACCTCAGGTGATTTGCCCAAGATTATCCAGACAGTCTGTGGCAGAGTCAAGTCCTGGTATGTGGGCACAGCAGAACAGGTGTGGGGTATGTGAGAGCATATGAACCCAGGTATGTCAATGGAAAGTGCCAGGTGGGGGAGGTTGGGTGCCTCTAACGCCGCACTGTCCTGAGAACACACGTTCCAGTCCTGCTGGTCACGCAGTTAAAGAGTGGGGCTGGCTGGGCCTGGAGAGGACTTTGAGGAGCATATGTCAGCAGAGAAGCGACAGGGGATTTAAAATAGCTGGGCTGGGATTTTCAGTGGCATTTGGATGGCAAGTTCCCGTTAACACTAACATCATCGGGATAGCTGGATCCCTGCAGCAGCCTGGAAAATCTCAGTCTGTCTGTCCTCGTAGACACTCATCCCTGCTTGCATTGTGGTGTCACTTCGGCAGCCATCCACGCACCGGCACACAAAACAGGGGGAGGATCCCGGAGCCGTTTGTCATTTGAAAGACGAGGGCGCTTGCCAGCTCAGTGGCCCGCTACAGCCGCTTTGTCATTAGCACGCATTAATTTCCTCATTACCTCTGGATTTAGCTTGCAGTTGCCACATCTTTCTCCAGGGAGGGGAAGACGGGGAGGCTGCTATAATGGGCTGAGCCTGGACCAGGGGGTTTGGGCTGCCACATTTTATTCCTAGTTGCACGGGGAGTGCAGACGCAGGGGTAGCATATAAGTTTTGGAGGGAAGATGGTGGGGTTTGGTTCCTAGCTGTATCAGAGGAGAGCATAGGTGCAGGGATCCGGGCGTCTGGGTTCTGTTCTAAGCTGTAGGAGGCAGCGCTGATTCGTGGTTAGAGCAGGCAGCTGGGAATCAGGACTCCTGGGTTCTCATTTTTTGGCCCTGCCACTGACTAATAGGACAAATCCTTTCACCTCTTTGTGCCTCAGTTTCCCCGACAATAGACCAGGGACGACAAATGCTCACTCATCTGTCCCAAATTAATTTGAGGTCTCTACCCGGGGGCTTCTAAGAGGCCTCAAGAAGTGAGGTGCCCACTTCCCTTTGGGCTCCTAATGCTCCTAGCTCCCCACCACCTCTTCCAAAAATCCCAGCCCCAAATGCATTAAACAAGACCTTGGTGCAACTCCCACAGAGCTTCTCTCTGGACCACCGTGGGCTGTGCCCAGGCCTGAGGCATGACGCACTCTTCTGAGTTGGTTATTTCTCATCTCTTCTATTTGGAGCACCAAGCAAAAATACACCGTGGCAGGGGGAAGGGTGTTAGAGAAAAGAGATGGATGCATCCGAGATGCGGCAGTCTCTGAAATCCCTGCACATGTTCTTTGACACAGAGCAGCTGCCGGACCAGCAGACGCCTGACAAAGGGTTTCGCGGACATCAGGGGTCTCGTGTCTGGCCTCCAGAGGATGCAACAGCTCTCGGGCAGTCTTGTGTCTTCTCTGCAGGCAAAAGGCCCCTGAATGATCTGTCTCGACCTCTCTGAAGATACCCAGGGTGTCTCATTCATCATCTGCCCCTCTGTTGCCGTGGTGCTCCTTTTGGGGAGCTTTTTCAGGAGCCCTGTGGATCTAGTCCCTGCTTCACTGGTGTGTGCCTCATCAGGGTCAGTGGGTTTCAGTGGCTCCATGATATGGGTGGAGCCAAAGCGGGCATTAGAAATAAAAGCTTGGGGCTAGGCTCGGTCCTCTGCTGTGCAAAAGAGGCTCAGCTCCGTTGCAATCAAGCAGCCAGTCCACCCAGGTGGGTGCAAGTGCTCATGGCCCCGGGCAGTCAGAGGGCCAGCTTCCGAAATCAGCACAACAGCACTGATTTGCAGGAGCTGCCAATTAGCTATAGCTCCACCAAAGTCGGTGGGCCAGGTCCTCAGGTGATGTCAGTGGGTACTGAAACCAAGGGGATGGGCTGCTATGGATTTGCATCGGTGCATCGGAATCTGTGGGATTCAGCCATCCTTTCTTGGTGTCTGTGGGCCCAAAGCTCAGCCACGGAAAGGCCATTGCTCCAGCGACTTACATAGGGCCACACTGATTTTCACCATCCATAGATCTGGTGAAAATCCAGAAAATCTGGATCTACTGCATTGCTTCCCCAGAGTATTTCCACCCCCTTTACTTCCCTGGCACAGCGAGTCCAACATGCCCTTTGGACCTGATCCTGCACTCCCTACCTGACATAGGCCCAGCCCCCAGCACTTAGGAGTAACACTTTGCTCATCTCCGAGGTATCAAGGGCTGTAATATCATGGAGTCCAAGAGGCCTGGGATCAATCTGGGATCCACTCTCACCACAAAGGGCTTCCTTTATGCCCACAAAGTTGATAAGCCTTTCTAGTGTTCAGAGTGATTTGGGTAGCCAGGGGCTCTTTATCTCAGACCATGCATCCCTAATGGGTTTTATCCTCATAACCACTTCCC